TGCAGAGTCGGTAACGACTGAGCGACAGAATTTAAAAAAAAAAAAAAAAGGACATGTGTGTGCCATAATTAGGGGCATGAGAAAGAACCTGAATGATGTCATCAAGGTTATTTCTCTATGTTTCATCAGTGCACAACTCTGCGCAATTCATGAGAAGCCAGTAAGGGACCAAAAAACCAGTAAAGATGGTTCTTACCTGAACTGAAGTCTTCTCTACTGTTCAGCACATCTTCTGCTCCCAAACTAGTAATCCCCCCATATAGATTTTCCACCGACTAGGAGTGAGAGAGAAAAAAGTTACTATCAGAGCCTCTAAGGGCTCCTCTGTGATATCAGCTTTCTTATTTTGACCCTGCCTTGTGCCCAAAGCCACCTTTTATGGAGGCAATGCCTTAGTTCCACGGTTCCATTAGAAAACGAAAAATGTAAACAGGAAATGGAATAGATGAATATGGTTTCCTTGTTTGCCCTATGCTTCTGAAATAATTTACATTGAAAGATTTTCTCTCTTGAGAATTTGGATCATAAAATCCCTTAGCAGAACCAATACATTAGAAGTATATTCTTTTTCTTTTTAATTATTATGTTATAGTGCCACATGCATCGTTTCTGACAGCTTTTCGTTCCGTAGTCCCAGAACCAGTCCTTAAAATTCTAGGGAGGACTGGAATAAGCTTCTCCTTAAAATCCTGAATTAGATAGATCGACCGTTTGACTCAGTAGAATACAGTTCGTCAGTTCTATCCCCTTTTGGATTAATTATCACCCTTAAACATTTATGAAATGATGTTATTATAGAGTAAAAGCTGTTTTCAGGGGATTGCAACGCTGACCATATCCGATATTCTTTTCAGGTGGTGTTTCAATAGCGCTCAGGAGCCTATGGATTAACAGTAAGTACGTCTCAGAGGGAATACTGACATATAATATTCCCAGCCGTCGTATCACGACGGCTTTTTTGCAGTATTTTATCAATCTAGATGAGCACCTTGGTAACATGAGAATGATGTCTTGCTCATTTAAAGCAGTGACCGGGCTCCAATTCTAGAAATAAAATTCTTATTGGACTGAAATTCAGATTGGAGGAAATCCAATGAACAAGAACCACAACATTGTAATGGCAGAAATCCATTGATTCCTTGCATTTCAAGTGCAGGTTTAAAAACAAACAAATGGAAAGAATGCATTTACTTTTTTTTTGGAGTGTTTTAAATATATTTACTTGTTATATTCATACCCTGCCTTTCATCCAAGAGCTGAAGGCATGCTACAGAACACTTCCTTCTTCAAATTTCTCCCACTACAACAGTGTTTCTCAACCTTGGCAACTTTAAGACGTGTGGACTTCAACTCTCTCATCACAATTTAGAACCAAACTATTTTAGAGTGTGTTTCTTAGGCCCTAAGAATCATATTATTTGGAATTAGGGTGCAAAGAAAGAACAACTTTTCTCAGCCCAGGATCCTGAAATGCCAGAAATTAAACCTGGGCCTTTCTCATTCAAAGCAGAACTTCGTCCTTTCTGGGCAACGAACTGAGGGGCTCACCTGATTCAGATCAGTAAGAGGAATTGAAAGGATGGTACTACTGTCCACTTCTCCCATGAGGAATTCAGAGACACTGGAGGGGGAAAAAAGCAAAACAAGAAAAAGGTTGATGAAATAGGGAATAACTAGCAGGTTAGTAACAGCAGCAAAAGCCATCACTGAGCCTCAAAAAAAGGCTAATAGTGATATCTTTGCTTGACAGTGCGGATTGCACAAATACAGCTTGCTCCACTCTAATGTTCTTCAACTGTTTCAAACTGCAGCTCCCATCACCCCCTATCATAAATGAATAATGGTTGGGAGACGATGGGAATTGCAGTTCCATTTATCAGGAGCTTAGAGGCGTTCTAGTCCAACAACCTACGTCAAGCCTATCCTCTACTCAGCATTATAACCCAAATAATCACTAAGAAAATGCTACTTGGAATTGCACCATACCACTAAATGGAAAAACAGCATCTGAGGCCCACGGCATTACTATTTTAACCCTCGCCAAACAACATTTTTCTTACTACAAAGAAGTACAGGCATCATTTGGAGTAGTGATATTGAACATTAATGTTTAAAACATTAGTATATCTCTTCAAGAGGAAGAGACAATAGTGCTCTTTCTTTTAGAAGCGTAAGAGTTGGAAGGTGCCATTGAAACTCCTCACGGCAGAAATCCAAATCAACATATCTCTGATGTTGGGTTTGTTCCTCACTTTGATTTGGGTTACCTTTTTATTATTATTATTACCATTATGATGTAATATCAGCAATAGGATTAAACATCTTCTAAAGACGTTCTAAGTACGTGCTGTCATGGAGGATTTCAAGCAGAGGCATTGTTAGAGATGTTAACGCTGAATTTCCTACATCCAACTAGTGCCGGGGAGGCGGTGCGTGAAGTGGATGGCTTCTAGCTCTATGATTCTGTGATTCTAAAATCTGTTAAGTCGTCTTCAAAAATGGCCTTTGAACTGATCTTTTGCTTACGTGCTACTGAAGGAGACAGCAATCAATTCCACGGCCTTTTCAAATTCACGTTTTTCAGCTTCATTGTTGGACTCATAGTGGAAGCCTAAAAATGCAGATGGAAAGGAAACAATGACAGTCTCCCCAACCCATCAATCTTCTTAAAAGGCATCCTACAGGATACACAGCAGAACTGTAGAGCTGTAGTACAATAAGGTTGTACATTTTTGTGTGTTTTCCAATGCTCCCCATGGGGGGGGGGGAAGGAAAAGAGCAAGCTAGCATTTCACAACAATACAATAAAATGCTTGAAATATTTCAGTGTGAAACAATCTTTGGTGGAAAAAAGAAAGAAAGAAAGGTTGCAAAGTGGAAGAAGCCTTAGAGAACATGAAGATTTGATCAAACAAAAAGATATTTCTTCAAAGCAAAGAATAACTTGAGTAAGGCGTAGTGAATTCAACTTAATAATTTAAACTAAAGCAGGCTGCTGTGCCTTTTGTTAAAAGCTTCCTTCTGTTTCTCTAATTGCTTCCTCTGTATTGTGGCAGCAGTTCCTGAAACGGCCCCTTTATTTAGTTAGCTACTATTTTCTTATGTAGAAGGATAAGTTAATTATAGCTTTCCTCTTGTTCTTCTTTCATTTTGCAAAAGCAACCCTAATAGGAAATCTGTCATTCAAACACCTTCCACATGGAAGCTATACTGAAGGCACAATTATGGGGGAATCTGTCACAATGACTACATCACCCTAAACAATCAGTTATGGAAAAACCATCCTTCAGTGGCAGAAAAGGGTCCTATGGCAGAACCATCCTTGAGAACCATTCTTTGACGCTGACCTGCACTGATAACCATTGGGGAAACTGAAGCCCACTTTAATTTTTGTTTCGGGGATACAGGTATCATTCTATTGCCCAAAGCCTAAGATCAGTCTGGCAGATGTCATGAACACGAAGCTTCTGTCAATTTGTGGTTAAACTGTTCAAGACACAGGAAACCAAGCCAGCAACAGAAGACAAATATTTTGGTTCTGCTGAGCTGCAAAAGCCGCCATTCTCTGCCTACCACTTCCTCCTTGGCTGGTAGATTCAGAGTATGAAAGAGTCAACCACTTTGATGCCAAGGTATTGTAAAGTAAGGTGAGGTCCAGGATGAAAAAAAGATTCTTTCTTTCATTTACATTTAAAGTTAATTAATACTAATTATAATAATGTTGGCTATTCTTCCACTATGTATTTAATCGTATTTTTCATTTATCACTGTAAAATTATAATTTGGAGGTTTGGAGTAGGGTGGGGTGGGGGACGCAACCAAGGTTTCCTGGTCACAATGGGCTCTGGGGCCAATTCTGAATAGAGAAGACTTCTACCAACCATGGGTAGATTTCATTCTGGCAAATAGGATGAAGTTTTTCTTTTTTTCTGAAAATTCTAAATTCTAATTTCCAACCTGTAGCAACCTCGAGTGTGTTCAGCCACACCCATGGTTTAATTCATTTTGTGCCATCTTTTAAATAGTGTGAATATTCACACTGAAATTGTACACATTTTTCTCCAAATGCAAGGTTTGATGCTTATTCTTCTCCCAGTTGGAAAAGTGAATAGGCAGAAGGGGAATGATCAGGGACCTCCTTGCCAAACATGATCCTGCCCATCTGGTCCAAATATCTAGGGAGGAATCTGCTGGGAGCCCAACCACCATGTGACGTACAAGGCTGTAGGTCAGATGATAATAGGAATGGAATAGGTTGTACCCCCCAACTTCTGCGATGCACATAAAAAGTGAGTGGAACTTTGACCACATCTTTGTGGTACCATCTTGACAGTTTTTACCATACTTCAGGATTTCTCAACCTTGGCAACTTTAAGACGTGTGGACTTCAATTCTCAGAATTCCCCAGCCAGCATGCTGG